GGGTGGTTGCAAGCATTTTTCGACTTTGGCTTAGGAAAGTTGACTTGGGAATATGATTTCCAAAATTTTAAAATGTATTCTTTGTCGTGATTTGTTTTCTGATTCTAAATATTTGTTTTTATACATAATTTTATACTTGTAATTTTGTAATCTTTTCCTGAGATGTATAATTTTCAAACCCTACAAAACCTGGACCCACCCCTAACTATTAGTTTACCCATTTTGCAGATAAGAACTTAAGGTATTAAAGTACAAGGACGTACAGCTAGTAAGCAACATAACTAGGTTCAAATACAGGCAAACTGGCTTGTACATTTGAACTATTACTTTTTTTTAACATTGCATGTTTTTTTTTAACATTATGCTCTTAATTACTATACTCTTAGCTACTTCATTCTTGTTTCTATTATCTATTACTTTCTAGTATCACCTTAATTTTATAGCTGAGTAAACTGAAGTTTAGAGGTGTTGTGGGTTGTGTTCCCGCAACATTCATATGTTGAAGTCTTAACTTCCTCTATCTCAAAATGTGACTACAATATATTTGGAGATAGGGCCGTCAAAGAGGTAATTAAGTTAAAATGAGGTCATTAGCATGGTCCCTAATTCAATGTCACTGGTGTCCTTGTTAGAAAAGGAGATTAGGACACAGACAGGCACAGAGGGAAGATACAGGGAGAAGATGGCCACCTATAAGGTTAGGAGAGAGGCTCAGAAGAAATTAATCTTCCCAACACCTTGATCTCAAACTTTTAGTCTCCAGAATTTTAAGAAAATGCATTCTGTTGCTTATGCTATCAGTCCATGGCACTTGGTTAGGGCAGCCGTAGGAAACTCATGTAAGAGGGATCAAATGAGTTCCCCAAGATCACACAGCTAATCAGTGGAGAGTCAGGACCTAAACCCAGACCTTCATCCTAATCACCTGTTTTTTTCTCTGCACATCCAGTGCTCTTCAACTAAAGACCACCAGGAACACACACTGTGAGGACTATGCAGCATCTCAGCAAGAGGTTGTTAGAAAGGACTTGTGAATGGATTTGAACTTGTGTTAGGTGATTGTATGGCAGTCTCAAGTGGGAGCTTTGCTCTGGATTGAATCCTTTCAGGAAGCAGAAGCAAGTCTATGCTTGGGTATCTTACCTAGAAGGACAGAAGAGTGTGGCTAAAGCTGTGATTGGCAATTAAGCTCATATTAGTCAAGATGGGGGATGTTTGGACATTTTTGTGGTTTAGATAGAGTTCATATTTTTGTCTGTGGTCAGACATGATTCTGCAGTGGTCTTGTTTTCGGCTTGATTTATTACAGCCACAGAGTGATTATAGTTGATGATGTTCTATGAAATTATTTGAGGTCAGCCAGAGAATGCCAAGACCCAGCTGTGAGTGCCAGGTCAGTTCCTGGCTGTTAGGTGCTACTTAACTCTTCCTCAGCACCAAGAACTGCGTTTGCCAAATCTGGTCACATGACTAACGCCAAATGAAACTTTTTTTTGTCACTTAAAAAAATTTTTTGTGTTTTAGGAAATGCCGGGAAAAACCCAACCAGAGTTGCTAATGACATGATCAATGCCATTGTAGACTTCACATCGAAACATTCTACCCCATCATTAAAAGAAGTTAAAGTTGTCATCCTTGTATCTGAGCTGCTAAATGTATTTCATGACACCATGAAGAAAAGGCAAATCACCATGTCACCTCCCTTTCAGCCCGTATTCTCCAAGCCTGCCCGTAAGATGTTCTTAAAATATCATGTAGTTATCTCTAATATCACTTAGAAAGTGTTTAGAGCTGAATACTCACTGTTTCTATCAGTTATAGGACTTTACAGACAATCTATAATACTTGGGAAAAGTGCAAGAACTAAGCAACACAATCTCCTGTCAACTGATCGTTTTTCTGCGGGACAAAATCATGTCCAGGAAACAGGAATAACAAATGAACAGGAAGAAGACAGAAGAGGTGAGAAAGCAGAAAGAGGGGAACAGGTGTTGAAAATCCTAACCAATGATATCATCTCTTCTCCTTATTGATTGGTATTGACCCTCAGTGTCCCCTGTAGCTGTGAACTAGATGATCAATACTGGCTTATTATACACCTCTAGAGAAGTTAGCCTAGGAACAGAAGCAGATGCAAGGGAAGAGTAGCCAGGGTCATCTGGGTGTACTACATCATAAGCAGACGGATTCCTTGTTGCTTCTCCGTAATGCGTGTGTTTATGCGTTATGTTTAGGTATCTGTATCGACCTGCTCCCTGATCGAGTTTTCTCCCATTTTGTGACTTCTGTACTGCTGGTAAAATCACTAGAAATGCAGTCTCCTCTCGCAATCACTATTTTTACCCATTTTGAGCACTTACCCAGAAAGCACGCACTGTGAGTTTTACTAGTAATGAAGCATACCGGTCACCAGCAACCTTTCTAAACTGAGAATTG